ATCTAGGTGCCAGTGTGTTCAAGGCTCAGATGTTTGTCCCTTGTGGTACAGTCAGTGCCATGGTTCTAGTTACCCCATTGGTCACTCTGTGTTCCTGGAGGTCGCCCAGTGCTTCCAGGTATTTCTCTGCTTCCATGGAGTTTGCTGTCTTAGGCCTGCACTGGCCAAGGTAGTTGGTTTCAACTTGTTCCTATAAAAGTCCCTGATCTGGATCAGCTCATGCAGTGGTCCCTGGCTTGGGGATGGTCCTGCAAAAGTTGAGGTTGGCTCTAATCTACTTCCTTGGGTGTCCCAGAATTGGATACACCCAGACTCTAGAGGACCTGGTTCAGGCCTACTCCCGCAGAGGTCCCAGACTCAAACCTGGACCTGTAGAGATCTCTGGTTCCTGCTTACACCTTCAGAACTACAGAGGTCCTGGCTCAGGCCTAGTTCCTAAGATGTCCTAGACTAACACCCAGAACCAAAGTGGTCCTGGCTCAGGTATACTCCCTTGAATGTCCCAGATTCAAGCCTGAACGCACAGTGGTCTCTCACTCTGGTCCACTTGCTCTGCTATGGCTCCTCTGTATCTGCTCCTGTGGAGTTCCATGTCTCAGGTCTGCTCTGGCCCAGGTTGCTGACTCAGTCCTGCATCTGCAAGTGTCCATGATCTGGATCTACTCCATGGTGCTTCTTTTTCTCAGGGCCCCTCCAGTCTAGGTATGTGGCTCAGTCCCTCTCCCATGGACCTCAGACACTAAGGATTGTTCTGGCCTAGGTTGCTGGCCCATTTCTTCTACCACAAATGATCCTGGTCTGGATCCTTTCCTTTTCCCATGGAGTTCACTGTCCCAGTCCCGCTCTGACCTAGGTAGCTGGCTAAGTCCTGTTCTTTTGGAGAATTGCTGCCTCAGATCTGCTCTGGCCTAGGTCGCTGGCTCCAAGTTCAGGTCTCTTAAGAAGGAAACTCTACTATTCAAAAGAATCGGTGTTGAACACATGTGCACATGCACAGAGCCCAAGAAAAAAATGTAATCCCAACTAAGTGATGATTCCAGAAAAACTGCCAAAAAGCAGCTTGAGTAGATCTCTGCTTAAGCAGAGGCACCAGATCCTACTGGAGCATCAGGGTCCTGCTCTTGGGATCTCCAAGTGAAGGCTGAATCTTCATGCAGCAGAGGAGCTTCTGCATGCTCTATGCTGCAGAACAATGTCCCTGACTTTGTCCTTAATTTTCTGTTCTGGTAAAGGGACCATCCTTCAATTGGGCATGGAGGTGAAATAGGATAGGAGATGGGTATCTAAAGAAATATAATAGACTTTTCAAACAATACTGTGAAATACTTTCCAGGAATCACCTTTGGAAGGAGAACAAAAGACAAGTAGCCATTTTTCAGAGACCCATACCAGACACTGGACTGAACTCCCAAAGTTCAACTGAAGAGTGGGAGGAATGAGAATATGAGCAAAGGGGTCAAGACCAAGATGGGTACACCCACTGAAACAGTCTAGCTGAGCTAATGGACCTCACCAACGCCAGCCAGACTGGGAAGGAACAAACACAGGACCAAATTAATCCCTAAGAATGTGATTAACAGTTCCATGGCTGGGGCAGACTAAGGGGCCACTGACAATGGCACCAGGATTCATTCCTACCACAATAGGCTTTTTGGGAACCTATTCTCTTTGGATGGATACCTTGCTCAGTCTAGGTATAGGGAGAACCTTGTACTGTCTCCAAAGTGACTTACCCTCTCTGAAGAGTGGATGGGTTGGGCTGCAAGGGATTTGGAAGGAATGGGAGTAGGGGTGGGAGTGGGAACTTGGATTGGTATGTGTAATAAAAAAATAGTTTGTAAAGAAATAAAAGTAGCCATTTTTTAGAGGACAGAGAAAAGTAGCCACTTTTAGACGGTAGACTCAAATTCCCCTGCTCCTGCCACACAGGTGATCATCATCTGAGTGATCGATTAGCAATTTGTAGACTCCGAGCAAATTGCCTTTGAGGACAGAGCTTGCCAGCTGGCTCATTCTGCAATCTGGATTGAGGAATCCCAGCACTCCATCCAGACTCAAGAGAGTAATGACATATTCTCCATAGGCCACTAGGCATTCAAATCTGTTCATTTCACCAGGAGCAAGATACTAAGAAGCCAAATAAAGCAGATCTTGGGTCCTGTCATAGCTTGATAAATCGTAAATCAATTTAGTCTCTACAACCCTCCAGTGTCCCAAAATACAGGAGGAATCCCTGCAAGCTTTGTTGTCCTACGGAGTTTATTATCTGGCATTTAAAATGAAGCCTTTGATGAATTTTCCCTACAGTCATGTTAGTTGGTCTTGTAAGAAGAAATTTTTATCACAGTCAAATAGAAGTAATTGGCTCAATACAGCCAATAAACAAAGAGGGGAGGGGGAGAGAGAGAAAAAGAGAGAGAGGAGGTAGCGGGGGTGCAAGGACAAGACCCAGCACCAAACATATTCCCTCAAAGATATACTTCCTCTAGTTAGGCCATCTTCTGAAGTTTCCAGAATCTCCTTGTAGGAGGAGTGCCTGCTTGTTCATGTTGGCCGCCCGATTAGCTTAGCATCAAAATAACCACACAGAAATTATATTTATAATTAAATACTACTTGGCCCATTAGCTCTGGCTTCATATTGACAAACTGATATCTTAGTTTAATGCATTTCTATTCATCTGTATATCAAAACATGCCAGTGGCTTACTGGCAAATATTCGGCATGTCCGACTCTGGCAGCTCCATGGCTTCTCACTGACTCTGCCTTCTTCCTCCCAACATTCAGTTCTGTCTTCCCTGTCTACGTTCTGACCTATCAACGGGCCAAAGCAGTTTCTCTATTCATTAATGGTAATCACAGCACACAGAAAAAACAGCAGCAGACAAAGCCTTTAGCTCAAAAGTGGCTTAACAGATATAAACCATAACAGCTCCTTCTAAAATGTTACATAATATTGTACATGCATTTCCAATATTGCAAATCCACAAGTTCACATGAAATCACAATAAGAATTAATGTCATGCAAGACTCATTCCTGGACACTAACGCATGACCAGTGAGTGTTTACAGATGTGCCTTAGTTGATGCAGACCTTTCCTGGTATACATGAGATTCTGAGTTTGGTTCCTAGCACCATGTAAGTTGGGTGTGATGGTACACACCCAGAATGCCAACAGTAAGGAGGTGGACATAGGAGGAGCTCAAGTTTATCCTTAGTTGCAAATGGGAGGTCAGCCTGGACAACTTGAGAACCTGTCTTTAAAAAACAAAAATAGCCAGGTGACAAATCACAAACACAGTTAAGGAGAAGGCCCTATGGGAAGCATAACAAGTGCAGATGGGGAAAACGAGTCAAGGAAGAAAGATGGGAAGATGAATGTGCCTCTACTTTAGATTTTATTGTATTTTCCCAACATCATTGGCCTGTTCTTGGTGTACTCTTCCTCAATGGCAATGCCCTTCTAGGGTGAACAGTTGCATCAGTGATATCTATGAGCCCTAGGACATTCCTATCTGTTTCCTATTGAATTTTCTGGGCTGTTCTTTGCCAAAAACTTGACTTCAATAATAGATGGACAGCTTAGAAAACAGAAATGGATGTGTGGTGGGGAAAGGAATGAGAGCTAATAAGAGCCTCATGGGGCACAGGAGGAAATGGGGTGTGCCTGGGCTGCCAGACAGGAACAGCTCTGAGCTATACCATGGGGCAGGTTGGGCAGGACTCAACTAGGAACCACCCAGGCATTCTAGATCCAGGCCAGGATTGCAACTGCTCTGTAGCATGCTATGTGCTGAACCCTCTAGAAGTCATGGTTCTATTGGGGACTCAATTTTGTATCTGGGAACAGTAAGAAGCCTGCTCTTACCTCTCTGACTAAAACTCAGGAAGTCTGCAAAGGAGCTTAATTCCAGAGGATCAGGACGCTCCTGCCAGTCCAGCACTCAGGATGCTGTGGTTGGATTGTGACATACATACTATGGCTTACATAAAGTCCATCTGAAAATACCCTCACAGAAAGAAAGACTTGTTAGGTGAGGCCTTTGAGGTAGGGTACATTAGTGTTTTATTTGTTGAGACATGAACTCATCTTTCCCAAGCTGTCCTCACACTGGCTTTGTAGGATCACCTTAGCTTAGGTAGTCCTGCTTCTGCTTCACAGATGCTAAGATTACAAGTGAGGAGAACAAGGCCAGTGATGACAGCAGTGATCATTGAGCCCAGGACTTCCTAATCCTAGACAGCCACTCTGCCAACTAAGGTGTGTCTGTTGACTTTATTTTCCCACTATCCAGAATCTCACTGTAACTCACCACGGCTGGCATCTGTCCTACATTTTTTTTTTAGAATAGAAAAGAGCTCTGCACTCAGCCTGGGGGCTTTTTCTCTTGGTTAACCCACCATGTTGGATTCCTCTGCCAATGTATCATCACACTTTTGACAAGTAATGTATATGTGCTTAGTAATCCAGGGGAAATTTCCTAGAGTTAAGCATGTGGCTTCCATGAGTGCACCCTTAACCCAAGGCTCAAACTGTAAACAGCCTACAGGTTCTTCCTTAATGTGCTTTTTAAGGGTAACTTGTGGAACGTAATATTTCCTCATTTAAGTTCACCTTAAAGTAATTTCTTGAGAATATTTAATTCCACATATTAATTAGTAGAGGGTTTTGAGGAAGAAATGAGACATTCTTTCAGCAATCTTTAGAAATATTAGCTCAGTTGTCAACATGGGAAAGGTCATGGATCTTCCAATAAAGCAAAGGTGACACTGGGTTTGGAAGAGGAGGTGATGAATGGCTTCTTCTTTGTTCCAAAGATGCTCATGGAAAGGTAAGCTAGGCTTTGGCTCAGTTATGAAATCTCATTAGCAGGGTGGCAGAAGCTGTTCCACATGACATCAGCGGTTTCATCTCTGGACATTCTACTGTATCCTGGAGATCTCTTGGAATCCCGTGATGTCACCTGTGTTGTAGCAACACCAACTGCCATTAGGACATTCCTCAGTCCCTAGAGGGTAGAGGATTAGTCATGTTCTCAAGACTGAGGCATCGCCTATTTGGGAGACAGAATGGAAATGGTCCAGAGACCAGAGAGAGGCAGAAGGAAGCTGCTGTTCACTTCTGGAAAAGGCCTAGTGAGTCATGGGGAGATTGCCAAGGAGGTGCATTTGAGGTGGGCTATTGAGTAATGGGGCTGAGGAGCTGGAGCCTCAGAGGAGAAAATGGACATCCCTGCTTATCATACTTCCTGAAAATCAAGGATTCCAGGACATTAGTTTGTCTATCTCCTAAGCCAGAGGCTGAGAAGGCCAAGGCTGAGAAGGTTGTTCTGGGATCACCACTTATCTCTCACCTTTGCTGTGGTTTGGGGTGTAATGTTGTGACAGAAAGCGACAAGCAGGAGGCAGGGAGGGACTAATGTGTCTCCAACTTTGGGCACCTGTATCAGTTGCTTTATGTTTAGTGGCTGACTGACACTGTTCCCATGAAGACAAATGTTCTCCTGGCCAAGACCTTTCATCCTCAGGGTGCTCAGCAGTCTGCTCAGCAGAATTCCTCTAACCTCCTTTTCTTGAGAGCGACCCCTTAGGGTTATCAATGAGCAGCTGAGAATGGCAATTAGATCAGAGGGTGACCAAACTTCTAACAGAGTTATGGGACCACATTAGGGAATGGCTACTGACTGTCAACTTCAATGATTTGAGCTGTCATGGGTGACTTGGTGAGTCTCTTGACCATGTTCATACATGTTCACCTGTATGACTTTCCAATCCACAGTCATGGGCCTAGAGTGACCAGCATTGAGACCTGGGTTCTTCATAACATCTTAGTGCTTGTGCACTCTCTCATTTTTCTCGTGGCTTCTAAATCACAGTAGAGTTCAGGGATCAGGACCGTGCCTCATCCTGTGCTCCTATGAATATGCCTGAAGAGGTGGTCACTGGAGTCAACTGACGAATTTGTAGGGAGACTGAGGAAAACCCTGGCTGCTTACATCTCTACCATGATTAAAGAGTTGAGATCCACACAGAAGGCATGTTAACCTGGACTAGTATATATTGGTTGTCACTGGGTTCCAGAAATATTTTTCTGTTTGGAACTCAGGATGGTCTGTCCATCTCCTATGTCTTTTTGCTTTACAATTTCACTTGTTTTCCACCTACACACAGAAACCGCTATGGAGCCAGCATCCAATCCAATGCTCCTAAGCAAGAAACAGATAAAGAAGGAAGAGGAGAGGCTGACCACAGAGCTGCAACTGATAACCATGGAAAGAAATGACCTGAAAGACCGACTGATGATCCTCACTGAAGGAGCCGTGGACAATAGGTATCCATTGATTCAAACTTCATGGGGTTGTTGGCAATGTCACCCTTGCCTTCTTCTTCTTTTGAAGGTCTTGGTTTCTAGGAGGCTGTGACAAACCACATGTCCTAAATTCCTCTCAGGGGACAGGCAGACCTTGAATGTCAGGGGCCATGAGATGTGGCCTTTAACTTTTCTGTTCTCTCCTAATGAAAAGCAGAGCCTCTGGTCTCAGTCACACAACTCAGGGATTGAGGCAAGTACCGTGTAGTTCCGAGCATGTATTTGGAGAGAACATGACTTGCAAAGGTGGCTTGCATGAGCGACTACTACCTGCTGTTAGTTTGTGGGGAGTCTCTACTTTCCTGGCATATGATTGTGTGCTGGAAGCCCCTTGTAGAAGCTGGAGAGGCCTGGTTTGACTAGGGAAATCTCAGTGTGTAACTGAAAGTGCTGGGGCTCATCACAGGTTCTCTCTAGTTTTGCCCATTATGCTCTTAGGCAATAGGGCTCTGTGCATCTCTTTAGCATCCAATAAGTGATGGTCATTCTCTCTGTGTCTCTATAGCTCCCCTTATTCTCTCATGTACATATGTGTGCATATCTTCTCCCACTGTCCAGAAGATGCCAGTGCTGAGCCCTGGGAGCCCCACTTAAAGCAGGACTGCTTGTGTCCCACATGCTCATCTTGGTGGCACCTAGAAATCCCTAGCAGAGTTTATATCACTGCCCTGCTATTAGGACGCAAACCCAGAATGATGTGCTCTAACTGATCAGTGATTGTACAGGACTCAGAATCAGTGTTCTGAAACAGGAGAGATATCATTGCAATGTCTGGTGTATGGAGACATGTGACAGAGACTCCTGGTAGTATAGAGATCTAGACTGACGCTCTAGTCCTATTGAGTGAGCTCATGATGTCATGGCACAATCCATCTCAGGAGGAGCTCAGCCTTCCTGGGGCCAGAATAACCAGTTTAAAAGCACCAGAAGTTCCCACTACATAGGAAGCAGAATCTTGCACCCACTGGGCTACAGTAGATCAGGATACAACTTGAGTTCCCGTGATCATTGAAGCCTATCTTCATGGGATATTTTCTCCCGTTTTCTAGTCCCTACAAGAAGCACAAGCCAAATGCTTTGTATGAGATGGCAAAGTTGGATCACAAACAGATCATGATGGAGTTAAAAAATTTCGAGAATGAGAACACCGAGACCTTAGAGATTTTCAAGGCACTGAACAAGGAGACAATCTTCTATCGGTAAGTGTCAATCTGGACATGGATCAAAAAACTTGTGGAATGGACATCTCTGACTTCTTTTTCTCTGGATGAGGATTCCACAACTCTGGTTCTAGACTTTTACTGTATCAGAAGCAGTTTTTGGATTTGTGTCTTTTGGTCTCAGTTTTTCTAAGTGTGAAAGAGACTGACAGCCCCTACTACCATTTTCCTAGGGTCTCAGGAGCCAATAGACAGAAAAGGTATTTACACTCTCAGGGGAATGTCAGGCAGGCTGGATTTCTGGTGCTCAGGCCCATTCTTTACACGTCTGGGATCTGAGGAACCTGTAGATAGAAGATGCTCACCTTAGGTCCATTGATTGTCCTCCCATGGAGGGTATTTGCCCACTACATGCTGATGTTTCCCCATCACCATAGACAGTTAGGCCAGCTGGGGAACTACTCCTTCTACTGAAAGGACATGGCTCCTTTTAGGTGCTGGAGTTTACAATGGCAGTTTGATAATTTCTGTCATTACCTGTTCTCTCATTTGGGTTCTGGAGTGTAGCTGTCATGACTCTATCAGACTCTTAGCAACCTATTCCAGGAAATATGAGGCCTTTTGGGGTGCTGGTCCAGGGAAATCGGGGGTAGCAGGAGGAGGCTGGCAGGGCCTTACTATGCAGTGTGTGTCTCCAGGGACCTGCACAGCCGACTACTGATGGAAAGGACTCAGCTAAAGAAGAAAGTGGATGAGCTGAGGCAGGAAGAAAGGAAATTGCAGAATGATTGGACCGTGCTGAAGTACCACCTGGAGGATTTGAAACTGATCCATAATGACCAAGAAGAAGAGATCAGCTACCTCAAAACCCAGCAACAACAGGTAGGGGCAGGCAGCAAGTCAGGCTAACCTCTGGTACCATTTGCCCATTTGACTGCCTCTCTACCCATCCAACCACCAGTGTTTAACCCATCAGCTTATTCTTCCATCCTCCCTTCCTGTAACCAACCTCATGCTATCCAGGCATTCCCTGCAGTGTCCATGCACAAGGACTTCTGGAAAGTTTGAGTCTTATGAACAACTGAAACATGGGCAAACCTTCCTTACTGCTCTGCTCAAAGCATAATTCAGTGAAGGGGATGGGTCAGTAACATATCACACATGTACATGTATTTGTGACTGTTCTAGGCACAGAGATAATAGTGAGTGAGTTTAGGGTCTTGTGGCTCATTTCCTTGGTGGAGGTCACATTACATCACAGGTGGGAAGCAGTTTACAAGGTAGAGATCCTTGTGCTTCTCATACTCACGGATGAGGGTGGCCTGTGGACTTCTCTTCTCTGCCTGCATCCCAATGTGTTCTCTTTGCTTTCTCTGAATTCTTGGTTCGCAGGGACAGAACCCTGAGGAGCAGCTTGTCAGCCCTTTTTTATGGGATTGGTGCTAACCTGGTCACCCATCCAGAATATAATGCATGGTTGATTGGATAAACATCACGGGGCTTTTGACAAGCTGGAGGTGGAAGGCGGGAGATTTGGGCCTATAATGGAAGAATTTCCATAACCAAGCAAATATAGTCTGTCTAAACAAATCACATTTCCCACAATAACATTAGTTCCTAAGGAATTATAGCTGAGTTGTGAGACTTTTCTGAAAGAACTGGTATGGTTATTCTAAACACAACTGTTCATAGACCATGATATTTCTTTCTGCAACTCCCTTTCTCCATATTTCTCTTTCTTTAACAATCACTCATTGTGGGTTTGAGTGCAGGTGTACGTTTGTGTGTTTTTGTTTGAGTGTGTGTGTGAGTGTGTGAGTGTGTGTGTGTGAGAGTGTGTGTGTGTGTGTGTGTGTGTAGTGTAAGGATGTAGGTGTTGTGGTGCATCGTGCTTATGTTCATTTCCTTGTGCAGACCACTGTGTTTCTGTCAGTCCTGACCACAAACAGGGGTTCTTCCTTCCCCAAATGCTTTTGTTTAGCCTGCCTAGCTGACCTGCGAGTTATTGGGATCCTTTGTCTGTTCTTAGATTTGTTTGAATGTCTATAACCCTCAACAAAAACACGATTTTCTCATGAACAGGAGCTCAAGAGATTGGAAGAAAGCTTTCAGTTCCTGCAGAAGCAGAGGGAAATGGTCGCACAGGAAAAGCACTTGGTCAAAAAGCTACAGCATCATTTTCAGGTCTCTCAGATGAGGTAGGAGCCCAGACTGGGAAGATGAGGTATAGCCAAGGGGGGATCCCATGGACTTGGGGTCAGTATCAATTCTATCCATCTCTGAGGTTCCCATATAGAGCCAGGAAAAGAAGACCTTAGAGAAATGAGCTGGTCCAGTCAACAAGAAATTCTGTCCACTATATATTGTGTTTGATACCCAGGGCGTCTGTAGAATTTGGTCTCTATTCCTCCCTTCTGAACACTATGTTCTCAGAAGGTTTTTGCTGAACCTACAGAGAGTTTCCTGTTTCAGCCTTGCAAGATATTGGGTTTAAAGCTGTGCATCACAGGGCCCGGTAGAATTCACGTTTTTATTTAAAATAATCCCATGTAGATCAGAGATTTCCGACTTTAACACTGTCCTCGGTAACAACTGCCCATTTCCTGTGAAAAGTGTTCTCTGGATAGAGATGGTTAAGGACTTCCCAGGATGAACCCAGGCAGATGACTCAGCTGTAGGGAAGATCAGAACCCACTCGAGTGTGTTCTGTAACCGACTCCCAAAGGATACAGATTCCCAGTCTAGTCCCAAGGAAGGCACCAGTTTCTGTTTGGTCCCAGAGCCCTGACAGGGACAACGTTCTCAGGCACACATCTCAGGAAATGCTGCTTTAGCATGACAGGATCTATCTGCATGTTGTTCATGGTCAAGGTTCCCTCTGGGCATGAGGACTGAACCAGCCTCAAGTCCTTCTACAGAGACCTAAGCTGCAGGCAGTTTAAGGCTATCTATAAAATATTGAATGGCTCATGTACAACATTTGTATTTCTCATGTGCTGTTGACTATAGTATCAATATACTGTTGCTATTTACAAAATAGTATCCCTGAATTTTAAGAGAATACCCTATTTTTTCTATCAGAATGGACACCAACAGTGTTTATTTGAAATTATCATTTGTGTTTAAGACTGAGAAAAGTTTTAGGCCCATTTACTCTGGGATCTTATTCCATGTTAGTACAAATAATAACATCAGTCAATAGATTAAATTCACTGTCCAGCAGAGCTGAGGTGGATTGAGGGAGCATCTTCACAGGTAATATGGCAGGTCCCCACCAGGCTTTTTTTTAACTGCTTTCTTCTGCCAGGTCCAAAACTCCACAGACTCATCTGGAACAGGCCACAGCCCTGGACAAGAGCCACCTGCAGAAGGATCTCCTGCATGGACCACGTGCTGAGCCCCTTCCCCAGCAATATTGAATTCTAAGGACGCATATTCTTCAATTTTGGTTACCCACGAGAAATAGGCTCTGATTTTCCTAAGCAGTGACCCAGCATGGCTGCTTCTGAACCTTGATTCCTTTTTTTTCTGTTTTTCATCATACCATTTGAGAGACATGAGGAAGCCATAGTAAGCCACAAACATCTTGAACACATGTTCTTCACATTAGGACCAAGGCCTACAGACAAAAAGATACCCATTGTAGCTGTGAACTCACCAGTGAGGGAAATTCCAGCTGACCTCCAGGTGATCACACCGAATATGATTTGTGTTTCCGCTGACTCAGTTCTCGAGAAGAAAAGAACGCTTCAAAAATATACTTGAGATACAGACATCCGGAGACAATAATTACTCAGAAGCCTACATTTACGAGCAAGTGGACTCCATCTTGGGGAGAACACGACATATAAGCTCCTAGTTGGAATGGATCCAGACATCTTGAAAAAGCCATTCCAAATCCTGACCACCTCGCTAGCATCTCTCTGAGGCAAGCACTTGCCTGTAGTAGATGTAGTAGGTGCTTTCAATATGCAGTGATAAATGCTAATTAGCTTTATTTTTATTTGATTTTTGTTTTATTTTTGTCTGGTTCATTTAGTTTTGATTTTGCTATTTTTCTGTTATTTATTTGTGTTATTAGTACCATAATTTTCAAAGTTTATCCATTGTTTATGTTCACTCTTGTTTAAAAGCTTCTTTTGAGAAAAATTTATTATTTATTAATAAAAAGTAATTTTCTTACTTATCACATTTAATTCCAGCTTCTTTAATCAAGTGTGGTGTCACACTGCTTTAAGCCCAAAATTTCCAGGCACAGGTGGAAGCCATGGGTCAATGCCCAGTGGATGTCAACCCCTTGCCCATTGGCAGTTGTGCCACAGCTGCCTTAGTGCAGCTCCTGATGGCAGTACTGATGGTGATGGAGATCAGGTGGCATCCTGTGAGCATGGTGCCTGTTCTCCTGGAAACCACCACTAGTTTCAACCTTCAGTACTGTAAGCCAGGAAACAGTAACAGGTAATAAGATCCTGTTTGGAGACTTGATTGGCATCTGCCCCCCAAGTCCTGGGGCAGGTATCCCTGGAGAGCTGAGGGTTTGGACATCTCTGCTCTCTTCCCTCTAGATCACTTGGGGAACATTCACCATGCAATGGAAAATGGCAGGCTGGAATATGTCCCCAAGGTTCCCCAGTGACTCCCTGGGGACACCAAGCACAGGTCAGCAGTGATGCAACCTCTGAGTTCACCTCAGAGAATTTGTGACAGAAACAACACTGAGGCCCCATGGAAAGCCTTGACCAGTGTGGCACCCACTTCATGCTCTGAATCCGCACCTGCAGAGAACACCTGTCCTGCTATTCTGTGGTCCCTGAGGAGCAGAAGTGTCTGTGTCTTGGACACACCCACTGGTGCAGGAGGTGTTGAGTCTCAGAGCAGTGAAGTCTGAGGTCCCTAGAGAAAATAACTCCATGTGTCATGTGTCAGAGGGCCTGAGGTTACCTGAGGGGGAGGTCTCTGTCTTTGGGTAGAGGAGGGGACATCTTTGGTTTGGTTTTGGGTTTCAGACAGGTTCTCATGTTATTCTACACTAGCCTTAAAGTTACTATTTCTGGGTTTTTCTACCTGGGCTCACACCTAACCCCGTTAAAAACACAGATATTTACACTATAATTCATTACAGTAGTAAATTTTCAGTTGTGAAGTAACAACGAAGTTATTTCCAGTGTCGGGGCCAGCACAGCTTGAGGAAGTATATCAAAGTGTCACATCACTGGGAAGACTGAAAACCTCTGAACTGTGTGGTGGAGGCTCCTGCCTCTGCCTCCTGAGTGCTGGGACTTTACCTGGTACATGCTGTGTCGGGGATCTGATCCAGCATTTGTGTATAATGGAAAAGTGCCCTACCAACTGAGCCATGGTCCTCACCACTTCACAGTCATTTCTGGAGGCAAGTCAGTGTCTTCAGCCAGGGGGCATAGTCTAGGAGGCACCCCTTTGTCACCTGGGGCCCCCAGACAGCAGAAACACTGGAGCACTCAGACACTACCAAGACTGTTCTGGATGGTGTAGAAGCACCTTGTAGTTGGTGGAAATTTCAAGAGTAGATCTGAATCTGTGATTAAGGCTGTGGAAGAAACTTCCAGAAAGAAGCTGCAGCCTTTCTGGAGCCACAACCCACCTGGAGCCACATATGAGGGAGTTGAAGAGGTTACGAATCCTGATCTGTGTCCTACCTCAAACTCTCAATTTCCATTGGCCTAAACCAACTTTGAATCTGTGCATAAGAGAACCTATTGTACAGCCTACAGGAGGTCAGCCCATGGGAGTTTAGGAGAGGCAGAAAAGCACAGAGGTGGTGTAGGGAAAACTGAAACTTAGCCCAAGCTTCCTAATTTCTACTGTCATGGCTTCTTGCATCCTTTCTGCTTCTTTTAGTACAGTGTAACTGTGTACATGTTCACATACATATAGATGTTGAGGGTCAACCGGTCTCCCTCTGACAACACACACACACACACACACACACACACACACACGCATATACACTAAAAATCAGCCAGAGAACAGGGACCATCAAATAAGGGGGCAGAAAGAAAGAGTCTCATGAAGAAAACCTTGTGATGGAGGAAACAGGCTCATCAGACACGATGAGGTGAGGCTATGACTCGGCATTGATTCTCTTAATTATCATGACTCTACTTTGAAGCAAGTCCTAGCACCCTCCCCAGTTTGCTCGCTCTCTCTCTTTCTCTCTCTCTCTCTCTCTCTTTCGTTTTGTTTTTGTTTTGTTTTTTGAGAATTAAACTGTGAAGTTCTGAAACAACCTGAAAGAGGAAGGAAGACTGGATGGCAGGGAAATTTAATGTGGTCAGGGAGAGAAGGAGGGATAGTCAGGCAATATTCTTCAATGACATTTGACCTTGAACTTTCTGAAGAAGCAATAAACTTGACTAGTATGTAAGTTGAGCCGGGCACAGAGGCCCTTTTTGCACATAAAAAAACCAATACAACACAACAAAAACCCCTTGATGTCAAAAGCCTGGAGGAGATGTCCTGGTGGAGTCACCAGCGGTTCCCACAGTGGGGCTCTGGGGCTAGGGCTAGGAGACAGTGTGGTGAGAGGTAGGTGGGGAGGTGGGAAAGCAACAGTCGATTTCCATGGTGATAGGCTTTATTCTTGGGTCAGAGAGAAGGTCGCCAGTCCCCAAAGAAATATGTCAATGATGAAGAGTTAGCCACAGAAGGCGTAAAATGTGGTCAAAATGCAGAAAAATCTCATCTTCCACACGCTTCACATAGAAAAAGTTTCCTATATCCCCTGCCCCCAGCCTATATTCCATCATAGAACAGACTGAATGATACATGTATGAGTTATTTAGGGTTTGTTTCCAGCATGCTCTGGACACTCCATGAGGGTGGAGACTCTGTCCCTGACACCCTCAACAGCCACACGATCAATATCTTAAAATAACTGAAAGACTGAAGGGTGAGTTTCACTGTTGTGACCACATGTTATACACACTGACTGTTCATCATTTGGGGCCCTTGGCTTGCCATTTATTTGTAAATGAGAGCCCTTCCAGTTGGGTCAAGGATGAAGACCGTTGTCATAACAATATGGTGCTGCTGTAAATCCTACTTCAGTCTTGGGAACCAAATAAGGTGACCATCTCACGATCAACAGGGCACCTGACAACATGAGGCTTCTTCTATTCTAACGACAGGTGGGTTACTTAGCATTATGGCAGTGACATTTCAAGACAAACTCCTGAGCCATCACTTCCCACTGCCTGTCTCTGCTGTCTTATTTTAAAGACAGATGATACAATGTGGACTCATGGTGACAGATGGGCACTAATAGAAGCAACATTTTTGTGTGTATGCATGTTTGTACATGAGCGTACAGGTGCTAGGGTATAAGCATGTGTATGTATATCAAGGTCAGAGGGAAACGTGGAGTGTTGTTCCTCAGGACCTGTCTGCTATGCTTGTTGAAATATGGTGTCTCACTCATCAGGCTGACTGGCCAGTGAGTCCTGGAATGCCACCCCTCTCTGTATTCATGGTGTTGAGCTTACAACCATGTGTCACTGTGACTGTCCTTTCCTTAGGTCTGGCCATTAAACATAGGTTTAAGTTTATATGGCAAGTGCTTTACTGACTAAGCTGTCTTTCCAGTCTCCAGCGACATTGTTTCTTGTTGGGCTTCTTTTATTTTTGTTCTTGTTGAGATTTATAAATTTCCCATGGCAGGAATTGGGTGTTAAGTGTCCCTGCAGTGGGCACTTCCAAGCTGCTTCATCTGTCACCCTGTGCAGATCTTCAATGAGCTTTGCATCAGGTAAAGACTGGGGAAAGGATCACTTTTGAAAAATGCTTAAGGGAGTGCTTGCAAGCTGGTCAGAGGAATTCTGCTCCGAGAAAAGGGGAGGAGGAGGAGAAAGAATAGAAGAAAGAAAATGAGGAGAAGAGGGAAGAAAATGAAGAACTAGCTGGTGAACATTCTTTCTTAGTAAAGAACAAAACTCATTTTCTTCTGGATCACATAGGAAAAGTGGATGTGGTTTGCTTAAGGCCACACTGCACAGCACCACTTGTGTGATCAGAGTAAAGGAGAAGCCAAAAGCCCAGGCAGGGCAGGGCCTCTGACCAGTGACATCCTCACTAAGCTTATTTCACCACCCCAGGCGGTACCTTTGAACGGGCACAGACCCTAGGTGTATAGCATATTTAGGCTGGGGTTGGAAGCTGGGACCTCAGGATCCTTTAATCTTGTGCTGCTGCTGGAACACAGAACACAGATGTGACCTGGCAATACTGAGTCCTCACCCAGGTCCAGCCTCCTTATCTATGTGTTTAAGATCGCCCCCTGCCAAACAGATTTCTTAGATCTTCTGTTTCTCACTCTTCTGTCCCAAGCATCGAGCAGTAAGTGACCTCTCATGGAGACACATCCCTTCAATACTGTGTCCCCTCCTGCTCCCCACCTCTCCCTAGTCCTGACCTGGATGTTCTTGCTCCTCCACAATGAGTTCTTTCCATCAATTCACCCACACTCTTGGTAGTAGGGACCCAGGTCTGTGGGGGCATACATATGGGGAAAAGATGAATGTGGAGCCAAACATCTCAGCAGAAATCTCAGACTGAGATGACAGACAGACAGACAGACACCAACGCTTAAAACTGAGATCAGAATCTAGTTGTCCCATTCACTGCTTAGAAGGTAGTAACTTCCTCTCTTCTAACAAATAATGCTAACGGCTCTTCTGTGGGACTGTGAGAGACTGAAGGGATATCAAGTATAAATTAACTTCTTGCCTCTTTGATGTCCATTGTCTGAGACAAAGCTTAATGCTCAGAGGTACTCTCTGGACCTTTGCATGTGGCACCAGTTTTTGCAAAAAGGAAGACCTTTAGGGTACGGCAGGTGACAGGAACATGCTCACACCTGTCTCTCTGATTGGTACAGAAAATACTGGTGTGCAGAATGAGTGGTCTCAGAGGAGATCTTGCAGAAGCAGTGTGTACCCTGTATCTGGGTCAGGCGGGAATTGTGACAACATCTGCCATGTCCTCCAAATATAGATGGCCTCCCTCAACTCTGCTCCAGATCGACGATGCCCTGTTCTCCT